ATCAGGATAACCTGAGCCACTCTAACTAGAAGCTTTATCAAAAAGGAAAGTTTTAAGCCTAGCCTTAAAAGTAGACATAAAAATAAATCAAGACCTTTTTTTTAAATGTAATTCATCTTGAGGCATTTTTTGAGTTAACAGCCTTGTTTTATAGGCATTACATCCTTTAGCATTCCCTGTTTTAGTTCACTTACAGGTTGTAAGAAAAATCCTGTATCTTTAAGATAGTCTTCTAGAAGTGGCCCCTTAGAAGCAAACACAAACACATTTTCCTCATCCCGTGTTCGTCCAATTTCCCACACACTCGTATGTCTTCCTGTTTGTATGCGTTCTTCTCTCCAGCTGTATTATGTAATGCCAAAAGTTTTTTTGACTACATAAACCTTGTAGCTTGTAGTGTGAAGGACTTATGGGATAATGTTTTCTCAACTTTCAGGTAAATAATGTTGATTTTGCAAACATAATCCGAGAGGAGGCGGTGCTATTCCTTCTGGATCTTCCTAAGGGCGAGGAGGTCACCATTCTGGCTCAGAAGAAAAAAGATGGTAACCGGAGAGGAAGCATGAATGTGATCACATGATCAGCTCGGTGTGAATGACCAGCCGGTCTTTGTTTTTACAGTTTATCGACGGATCGTGGAGTCGGACGTTGGGGACTCTTTCTACATCCGCACACATTTTGAGTACGAGAAGGAATCTCCATACGGGTTAAGCTTTAACAAGGGCGAGGTTTTCCGAGTGGTCGACACGCTCTACAATGGAAAGCTAGGTTCTTGGTTGGCTATTCGCATTGGAAAGAACCACCAGGAGGTGGAGAGGGGGATCATCCCCAACAAAAACAGGTGGAAGCATCACGCCTCACTCCATGGTAACTGGGTTGTCGGCGGCGGCTGTGTTACATCATCAGTGTCCATCTTTGTCTTTCTGTCAACAGAGCGGAGCAGCTCTCAAGTGTTCAGTACACTCTTCCCAAAACAGCAGGAGGTGACAGGGCAGATTTCTGGCGGTTCAGAGGTCTTCGGAGCTCAAAGAGGAACCTGAGGAAAAGCAGAGAGGATCTTTCCTCTCAGCCGGTCCAAACAAAGTTCCCTGCTTATGAGAGAGTGGTCCTGAGAGAAGGTGAGATGTTCAAGTCCGTTCATCCTTTCACTTTCACCAGTCTCTGTTCATCCATCTATATTGATTTCTTTCTATTTTCTCTGTAAAAGTGGGCTGAACAGGAGTCAGAAATGTTTCTCCGTCTTGATCCTCTTTCAGTGGATCTTCCAATCTGATGAGATTTTTCTCCTCAATGTTTTGCTTCTTTGTGCAGCTGGTTTCCTAAGACCGGTGGTAATATTCGGACCTATTGCTGACGTGGCTCGAGAAAAGCTCTCCCGAGAGGAGCCAGATCTCTTTGAACTTGCAAGTATGTTTGATATTACAGCTCGACGCTTTACTGAGCTCATTGTTTCAATTTTTTTAATATCCTTACCCGATTTATTTCAGAGAGCGAACCTAGAGATGCAGGAACAGACCAGCGAAGTTCAGGAATCATTCGTCTTCACACCATCAAACAGATCATAGACAGAGTGAGCACACAAGCTGCCGTTTTTCATCTTAAATCCATCTAACATAATCTCTCAATAAACTTTATTCATATATATTCTTTTCTTCATTTTTTGCAACAAAGGACAAACACGCTGTGCTGGACATCACCCCAAATGCTGTGGATAGGCTAAACTATGCCCAGTGGTACCCTATAGTCGTCTTCCTAAATCCTGATAACAAGCAGGGTGTGAAGAACATGAGGACAAGACTTTGTCCAGAGTCCAGGAAAAGTGCCAGGAAGCTTTATGAGCGAGCCATTAAACTGAGGAAGAATAATCACCACCTGTTCACTAGTAAGTAGGCACAGTGTGTTGGACAACACTGACTTCAAGCCTAAATGGCCTTTTTTATGCCGTCATATTCCTTGTGAAGTGATTATTACGCAAACTATTTCCTTTTAGCGACCATCAACTTGAACAACATGAACGATGGCTGGTACGGAGCCCTCAAAGAAACCATCCAGCAGCAGCAGAACCAGTTGGTGTGGGTATCAGAGGGCAAGGTGAGACAAACCGCCCGGCCGTAGCTCTGATCCTCATGCTTCTTCTGAGCCAGACGGTTCGGTGACAGATTTTGTGATCTGCTCAGGCGGACGGCACCACAGAGGACGACTTGGATATCCACGACGACCGTCTGTCCTATCTGTCGGCGCCAGGTAGTGAATACTCCATGTATAGCACAGACAGCCGCCACACTTCTGACTACGAGGACACAGATACGGAGGGAGGCGCGTACACGGACCAGGAGTTAGACGAGACGTTAAACGATGAAGTGGGCCTGCCCACGGAGCCGGCCATCACCCGCTCCTCAGAGCCTGTAAGAGAGGACCCTCCTGTGATACAGGACCCCGCTGGATACCCTGGATACCAGCATCCTGTGCAGCCTGACCCAGCCAGCCGAATAGATCCTGCTGGATTCAAGATGGCCGCTCCGCAGCAGGTAAGATTGTACTCGCTAAACGATTAGCTAAATGTATTACTGGAGGGCTATTCGTTAGCTCCTGTTTGTATTTGGTGTCGTGTCTCCAATATTTAGTAGAGATGCACCGATCAGAATTTGTGGCTAATTTCTGATATCTGGCTTTTTCGATCTCTGACCTTTTGATTCGGATTTTGATTATTTAGATTAATTATATGTTATGAAAGCAAAGATATGAGAAAAGTGATTTTTCATTGCCTTTCTGCTTCATGCAGTCATTCATTATTTATATTCAACGCTGACAGCCTCTACGTTTAAAAGTTTTAATGTGACAATCTCAATAGTTGATTGAAAATGTAATAGTAAAATTGACTATTAATAGACATTGGTATCATAAAGGATTTATTTATACTACTTATCTTAGCAATACTCGCACTAGTACATAGATTCATGCATGTGAGCTAGAAGTAAGCTCTATTACAGGCAGCAGAAACAAATAAACTGTTTATTTATTTGTTTTAAATGATAAACTAAATGTGGAACATTTTAATGACAGAGTAGATTTTTGTAAACTGGGAAAGATTAGACTTAGATTTGGACTTTTTATTGTCATTTTTCTACACACAGCGTGTATACAAAACAAATTTTTAAAGTGCAGCAGTGATAAAATGTAAACATGGTGATCAGATGTAAATATAAGACTGATAAAATTGTTTACAGTTTTCCAACATCCTCAGTTTCTTTTTTCAGACAATAGAACCTCAAAGAAAAGATCTCACATGTTTGTCTTAAAAGTATTAAAAGAAAGGCATACCATATCCATAATATTCAGGCTTAATTGTTTTCTTTATCTAGGTGGTTGTTTTGTGTAGTTTTTATAATCTATTTTCAGTCATGAGAACCAGACTTGGACCTATTCTCCTCCAGAGAAAACACGGGCCAATTTTAGCTAGGTTTAATAAAGTCTGCTTTGTGAGGGAAGATGCTGAATGTAGTAGTTCATTACAATGAAAATAAAGAGCAAGCAGTTGTGTGGCATTACAAGACAGCTCCTTTGTTTTATCTAATAGTCCAAGATCTCAATTCTTCAGGGAAATTTTAGGTGTTTAAATTTTAGGAGTTCTTCTGCATCAACCTCCTGTGCTGCTGTTGAATCTTGGCCAGGCGCTGCACCAAATCGTTCCCAGGGCTGCAGATTGTCCATGAGACATACTTTGAACGTCCCTTATGTGGAAACTTACCCAAATTCTGATAGTTTAGAGGCCTGCAAACATTTCCAAATCTAAAATGGTCACTGAGAAAGGTTGAAGCTCAATGTGGAAAAACAGAGAAACTTTGCTGTTCCAGTGTTGCCAAGTAAGGAAAGGAACGGTTGGCTCTCCTGAAAGTAACTTAAGTCGATTCATTATATTGTATCAAATTTACTTAATTTTTCATGTGCATGTATTTGTAATAAGTGTTTAAGGACAGATGACTAATTAATTACCTTATTTTTCAACAAGGGACAGGACACAGTAATCAACATTTAGCAATGTAAACATGGCCAAGCTGGCTAAATTAAGCTAGTTTTTACCAGGAGACAATTTGATTGTTGTCAAAGCCAAGTTAATAGTTAGAAAAAAAAAGATGATCATTATATTAAAACCTAAACATACAGTAAGAATAAAGAGGGGAAAAAAACATACCACCAGTTAACAAAGGAAAGACAGAAAGTTGTCAAAAATGCTTTGAAATCTTAAAATAACTTTCTCTTTTCAACCTTTCTGTTAGCTTAGTAAATGTGACTCAAAAGAGCCTGATTCTGCTGGAGGTTTCTTCCTTAGATAGAACAATTTTAATCAATTTGACTGGATGACCGTGTTGAATTATAAAGTGTCTTTAGATGACATGTGTTGTGAATCACTATATAAATTATTCTAGCCAAGGCAAGTTTACTTATAAAGGAAATTTAAGTAGGAAGACAATGCTTTACGTGAAAAATCATAATAGGAAAAAACTCAGAGAAAAGCATATAGGATTTATGGCATAATGGTCATTATATAATTATTGAATATGATTACCGTATTTTCCGGATTATAAGCAGCTACTTTTTCCCCACGCTTTGAACCATGCGGCTTATAAGAACCTGCCGCTTTTCTGTGAATTTTTACTGACCGCCAGAGGGGAAAGTCAAAGTTGGAAATTAAAGAATAAGGTGCTTATTTTCATTTAGCACAACATGCTAGCAGGAGGCACGACAGAGAACCAAATTCCCGAATTCATACATTTTGCAATTTATTTCCTGCAATAAACCAATGAGCCTGAGCTCAACTCCTGCGGAGCTGAAATAAAGAGGCGACGAAGCCCCAACTTTCAGTAGAAGCTCTTACTGCTGCGAGCTAATAAGCTAACGGGAGTTAGCGTTCTTCTTCGTCCCTACTCCAGGGGCTATATGTAGAGCTCCCCCTACAGGTTTGAGGGGAGACAGTTCAGTAGATATCAGCGGCTTATAGCCCGGTGCGGCATGCATTTTTACGTTTCAAGTTTTTAAAAAAATATTTTGTGTACGGAAGAGGATTAGGGCCACAGAAAAAAAAAAGAAGTTAACTGATTTTCAAATTTAATTTCAGTTTAGTATGGGAAAAAAGTCAGAATTCTGACTTTAATCTCAAAATTCTGACTTTAATCTCATAATTCTGACTTTTTTTTCCAGAATTCTGACTTTAATCTCAAAATTCTGACTTTTTTTTCCAGAATTCTGACTTTAATCTCAAAATTCTGACTTTAATCTCACAATTCTGACTTTTAAAAAATTGCCTAATTCCGTCATTTTCCACCAATGTGTCACTGGCCACCTCAAACAGCTCAAGTCAGTGAAGCTGAGTGCTCCACATCTCTTCCTTCATGGTGCCCATCTACATTAAGATCCAAAATTATGAGATTAAAGTCAGAATTCTGACATTAAAGTCAGAATTCTGACTTTTTTTCCCATATTAAATTGAAATATAATTTTAAAATCAGTAAACTTTTTTTTTCCAGTGGCCCTAATCCTCTTCCGTAGAGGTGCGCTCTGTTGTCCGGAAAATACGATAATAAAAACTATGAAAAATGAATGCATAAATAATAGAAAATAAAATGAGAGAAAGTGGGACTACAAAAATAAACTAATAATTTTTAGACAGGCAAAGGTCACTCCTAAAATGTGTTTTATTTCTCTATTTAAAGCAGCTCAGGTTTTCTTTCTTGGAGTTTGTTCCAGATTAGTTTAGCATAAGAACTAAAAGCTGCTTCTCCATGCGTGGTTCTGGTTCTGGTAATGTTAGTTAATGACAGAACCGTGATCCATTTAGGGGAATCAATCAGTTCTGTAATCCAGGGCAGAATCAAGCTGTGGTGCTTTAATCATCATGGAGGAGGAAACACTCCTTATGGTCGTTAAAGCTGCATCCAATGTTGGCAAGATTCAAGACAATAAATGTTTTTAAGGAAAGATCTGAAGTTTCCAATAACATTTAAAAATGATGGAGTTGTGACTCATTTGGTTTTTGTTTGTTTGCTTTTTTTCTCTCATCAGTGAACAGCAGGCTTGGTCTTTTTATTTCATTTAAACAAATTTCTTCTTTTCATCTCAGAATTTCATCTGTTGTCTGTTGAACACCTCACTAATACTAAAGCTAGCTTACTCTAAGTTTTCCTCTCTTTGTCACAGCATCCACAGTAAAGAGTGTTTTTCTACCTGACTTTTAAGTGTTGCCCATTTCCTATACAGTCAGTGGAAAATGTGATTTTTTAGTTTCTGACAGCTGATTTAGTTTCAGGTGCATCTCTAAGATTTATTATCTTCTGTTAGCATTGTGCTATCTAATCAAACCACATGTCTGTATTTTCTGGCTGAGTGTGAATAATCAGATCATAGCATTTGGCTGAGATGTTTTTGTGTGCCTTTGGCGGGCTGTGTGATAAATGTCTCTTAACAATACTTCACAGCAAGGTGAGGCTGCTCTGCCCTCGTTGCCTCCGCCGGTGGTAGCCTCCCCAGCTGCTGAGCAGCCTGTCCAACTAGAGGAGCCGCCTGCTGCAGCCGCAGCTCCTCAGGCTGACTCAATTAACAGCCCCAGCCCTGTCCCTGAGCTTATTCAGCCCCCACCACCACCACCTCCACCACCACATGAACCCCCCGGTCCTGAACCAAAGGTATCCGCTGTTTCACCAGCCACTCGGACCGGGCCTGGGCCCCAGCCTGCTCTTTTAACTGCCTGTCTTCTCACACATGCTTTCCACTCGCGCTCTGCATGTCATGTCCACACTGTGTGACTCACTAAGCCCACTGTGTTCCTTTGGCTCCCAGAGGAAATGTGCGACACGTTTGTCCACATGCACCACAGTGGGCTGGGAGACCAGAACGACTGGTTACATCTGAGTCTCTGATCAGGGTGAAGACATCCACAACCAGCCCTAATTGTTGCCTCTTACTTCCTTTGCATGGCTCCTGGTGTTTGTTTGATTTGATTTTTCTTTGGGGGGCGGGGTTTCCTTTCAGCTTGGACGCTCTACAGTAGATGAACCTTAGCAGCACTGACAGTAGATCTGTAGTGGGTAGATGTGTTGTCTGTTGTAGTGCCAGTAGTTTGACATTGCATTAGTTACAAACTGAATGTTTGTTGCATGATGAAAGCTAACCTGCAGACAGTCTTCTTTGTTATATCAACAACTCAAACTAAATTTCATCCCACAGAGAATTAAACCCAGTAGATTATATTCCTGGTTGAGTGGTTTTCTTCTTACTAGCTGCTAACAAATTAGCCTTCTTCCATAGGAAGTGCTGTAACTTTACTGTCTACAGGCTACACATCATATGTTTGACATGAGGCCTTTCAGAAATCTGCAAATTGTTAGAAATCAGTAAAAACTTTCAAATTGGTAAAATTCAGTTTTGTTTAAATTGTTTTTTGCTTTTCCCTGAAAGGCAACCTTTCAAACAGGCATTCAGAATGGTTGATAAATAAAGAACAACGATATGCTCGTTAAATCTGATCAATTAGTTCAGGATTTATCCCTAACGATTGGATCTGTATCCTTTATCTTAAGCTTTTTGAGGCTTAGTTTATGGTACTTTGCAAAATATATTTATACACTGAACTTTTTCACATTTAATGTTACAGCAACAAGCTTAATTGTTAGATTAATATGAATCTGTGCCTTATTGAGAAGTGGAAGGAAAACGATGGGTTTGTTTTTGGTGTTCCTTGGGTTCCTGGGGTCTGTTTAAAAAAGCAGGTTTACTGAAAGTTTCTAAACCTGAAATCAGGGAAACTCTGAGTTTTCCGTTCCACAAAGACTTTCCTCAACCCCTGTTTCTGTTGCCGTAGTAACATTCTTCCCAGCGCTAGTCCTCTGTCTCCACTCTCACGTTCTTTTATTTCCTGATTTAGCAGGACTTGTCATAGTTTTGTGCATACAATTAAAAATTTCATTCACTAGGTCCGTTAGAGACAGGTTTTATCATGTCCCTTTGATGACGATCCTATAAAAGGATAATCGGCATTAATTCACAGGGAATACGATATTTATGTAGAGAGGATTCTACAACAGGATATGAGATTATTATTATTATTTTTTTTTGGTTTAATATGAACGACATGCCGATCATTTCTTTTTTCTTTTTATAGTTCATGAAGAACTAATGAAATTATTTTCAGATTACACATAAATAGATTAATGAATTCCATGGGGGGAGAAGGAATTACCTTAGGTTA